GTGGCCGGGGCTCAGATCCAATTAGCAAGCTGTTACCATCTGAGGTTGCTCATATGCCTGAAACAAATTGCCAAAGCCAAAACAGAGATCCCCAAAGGCCCTGGGACAGTCTTTGAATTGAAAATTCAGTTAACACCTTTTTTTTTCTTTCCTGACTGAAGCCCGGGATCTGGACCATTATTATCACACAGGGCTTTTTGCTTTCCAGTCACCAAAGGCGAGTTTCCGCAGGAAGCAGCCCCTTAGTAACAGGAAGGTTTTGTTAAATAAATAAATAAACAAAGACTAAAAACACAAAGGAAGAGGAGCCTCTCCTTTCAGGAAAAAGGAAGAGGCAGACTAGAGAAGGAAGCTCCTCACACTGCAGCAGTGCCTGTCTGCAGGCCGCCAAAGACCACCTCCCCAACACATTGCCCTTGGTCCCAACCCCTGTTGGAGACCACCAGCCTGGCCATTTTAATCTCTTCCTAGTATTTATTTAAATTCTTGATATTGCCATTAGCTGTGTAAGCATTATCTTCCTCACCAAAGTGGTGAGTATTCTTGGGGGCCATCAGCAGGCCTTGCACGTTTTCACTCCTCGCCTTCAGGGTCTTGGTTTCCAAATGTTTTTGTTTAGGTTTGGGTTGGTTTTTGGTACTGAGAGATGGCTCAGTAGTTAAGAGCACTGCCTGCTCTTCCAAAGGTCCGGAGTTCAGTTCCCAGCAACCACACGGTGGCTCACAACCATCTGTAATGAGATCTGGTGCCCTCTTGAGGAAGAGACTTGGCCAGTCATCCTCATCAACTTAGACCATGCAACCCAATATGAACAAGTTCAACAGAACCACCATATACAGGCTGCCCATACGTGCTTCAGCATTGCCAGGGCATAAACTTCATTCATTGAGGATCCAACCCAAGCAGCCTTGATTCTGCTAGGCAAGCACTCCATCCCAGAGCTACATCCCAGTCCCGGAAGACTTCACTGTTAAAACTCATCTTCCCCAGCTTGCCAGGCTTTGTGTCGGGGCAGGGGCAGGGGAAGGGGCAGGGGCAGGGGAGGGGAGGGAAGAGGAGGGTGGGAGGTTTGGCAGTCTTCTTCTCCTGCTATGTATGGATGGGTAGGCGGTGTGGTTGAATAAACACAAACCTTGGCAAGTCGACCTCCCCTGCTGCGAGGGCTTGAGATGGCCTACGGCTAAATGAACAATTATGCTTTGGTTCAGGAGCAGTGTGTCTCCAGTTGAACAGAAGACACTGTTGACATCAGACACATTGACACTATTTAACAGTGTCAGTTAGGCAGTCTTAGGAATCTTCACAAGACAAGCACACCACATATGGCCGAGACTAAAAGGACCTCCTTGAGGTATCCATGGCATGAAGTAGGAAGAGGAGGAACCTCCCTCCTTGGATTCCCAAAGTCAACGACATATGTGTGCTTAGGAACCTGTGCTTTTGACATGTCCCTAAGGCTAGACGTTGCTTATTCTAGCATGTGTGTGATCTTCACCATTCATGACAGGCTCAGTCAGTGCACTGGTCCAGAAAATTAAAACATACAGCCAGAGCATGTGACCTTGTTCCAGCATGAATGCAGCTGAATGGTAAATTTAAAAAAAAAAAATCACGTAAATGTGGGGAGGAGATGGGGTTAAGATTACCACCAAAGTAAAATCACAAATATGTCAACTCATTCATCTCAGGTCAGGTGATGACCGCCCCCACACACGCAGGTCTACATGCCATCAGCAGACCCACCCCACACACGCAGATCTACATGCTATCCGACACACACACGCAAGTCTACATGCTATCTGCAGACCCGCCCCACACACGCAGGTCTACATGCCATCAGCAGAGGTGAATTCACTGTTGATTTGGAGAGACTTTGCCTGTACTTTAGAAGATAGAAAAGAAGACACTTTCCTACACATCTTGGGGTGTTTGGGGGACACAGTGAGCTCAAAGAATATTGTTCCAGTTGCACAAGCCTGGTCAAAGGCAAAAAGACTTGAGGGCGGAGGAATGCTTAGAGCATCCCTCCAGCTGGTCATCGGACTGGATTGGTAGAGTCAGCTGTCTCTCCGATGTGGTTCCCAGTACCACATAAGCCAGGACGATGGCACATACCAGCAACCCCAAGAGTAGGGAGACTGAGGCAGGAGGATCGTAAGTTCAAGACCAGCCCGGCTGTGTTAATCAATGTTCTCTAGAGGAACAGAACCAATAGGATGGAAATACATTAAATTAGCTTATGCTAAGATCGTAACAACGGGTGTCTTACCCTGCTGTTTGGTCCTCGAGGCTGGTTCCTCCGCAGTTCAAAGCCATCCCATGTTGAAATAGGATTGGCGGGGCTGCGTCCCCAACACCCCGGCCGCTTGGCTAGCTCATGCCCAAAATAACAACACACAAACTGTATTCATTTAAAGAACTGCTTGGCCCATGAACTCTAGCCCTTACAGGCCAATTCTTGCACCTGGACTAGCCCATTTCTAATGATGTGTGTAAGCACCCCAAGGTGCGCTTACCGGGAAGATTCTAGCCTCCGTCCATCCTGGTGTCTCTGCTCCAGAAAGCAGAGCTGTTGGGTCTCTCCGGGAGCAGAGCAGAGTCTGACCTCACTTCCTCTTCCACCCAGAATTCTATTCTATTTACTCCTCCCACCAATGCTTTAACCTATGAGGCCAAGCAGTGTGTTTATTACTTAACCAATGAAATTAACAGATTGATATATGACACTCCCACATCACTTCCCCTTTTTCTGTTTAAACAAAAAGGAAGGCTTTCATTTTAACATAGTAAAATTACATATAGCAAAACAGTTATCAAGCAAGAATTACAGTTACAATATTCATATCTATTTTATCTCTTATCATAGCCAAGGAAAACTATAACTATCTATTCATTCTTCAACTCCATCAAAGACTCCAGAAGGATATAATAATACCTAAGTAAACAAGAAATAAGAAAACTCTAGAAATGATAGAGACATCTCTCAGCCTGGACAGTCACCCAATGTTCCTCTGTACCATTGGGGCATCCATCTTTGGCCTACAGGCCCATGGTATCCAGAGACATTCCCATGAAGCAGGAAATTTCAAAGACAGTTCAGTCACTTTCTTCTGTATCCTGCAGAATGTCTTGCAGACTCTTTCATGAATCAGGAACCCAGAAAGACCATCTCACCTTTAGGCAAGTTCAGCAGTCCTCTCTCTGTGGGCTCTCTGTGTCCAGTTTATGCATCAGTCCAGGCAAGAGCAGTTTCTTGCCCAAATGGCTATCAAACTCCATAAGGATCCTCTTTGATGCCCATCTTCCTCTTGAAGTAGATTGGTGCTGCCAGGAGCAGAGTGTCTCATTGTCATGAAAAGCCCTAAGTTATTAAAACATTTAAAATGCCATATTCTATAATCTTTGAAAAATATGAAGAATGCCTATCTAAAATATATCTATGCACCTCTAGAAAATCTTAACTAACATAACTACAAACTTAACTATTATTAATGATTATCCATTAACAACCTATATACATTACATTTTTAAATGAACTACACAATCACAATACCTTAATAAAGATCAGAAATACATATACATATAACAAAACTGACCTTAAATCTCTATCAATAAAGTACAATCTATACTAATGCAAATTATTCATATCTATATCATATCCCTCTTTAAATGGAAAAGAACATTTATAAACCATATTTGGGAACATGGGCGCAGTTATTCCTCTCCAAACTGCTTCCTGCTGAATAGGGGCATCGTTAATTAGGTCGTTCATGGTATAACCTGTGTGCTAGGTTCATCTCAGTTGGCAGTTGAGTGAAGTAATTTTTTGAGGGTGTTCACAGCAACCTTTCAGAAGGGCGTGGTCTATCATACCAAATCGGAATAGATGTAATCCACAGGGTCACATCCTCTGTGAAAACAAAAGAAGACCCTCTCCAAAGCATCATATCCTTAGACCCAAATTTTGAAGTCATAATACCCGCATGAAATCCATTCTGGTTTAGCTTGGCAGCCCATGTAATGAAATGTCTCTCTGTACTTAGCTCCTTCACAGTCAAAAATTTTAAAGAAAACACAATGTACATAATCCAGACTCTCTGTGAATTTTCCATTTTTACGTGGCTTATTTTTCTTTATTTCTTTTAATCTATAACTATCTGTACTTCTGTACTCTGTCTCTTTAAAGACTTTACCCTTTTTCTTTTTAAGACATTAACTTTATTCTTTATATTCTTTTTCTTCTCTCTCCCAAGCCTACGTACATTCATCCAACAGTGTGTGAATCTGTTCTATTGTGAATCTGTAATTTTTTTACTATCCAGGATCATTTCTTAAAATGTTAAGCACTTCTTAAAAACTTAAGTTGCACCATGTACAGGTAATACGGTACTGCTTGTGTCCTGCCCAGTCTAAACCTTAACTGCGCTGTTATTATGGCAATTACGGTAGTTCCTGCTTGAGGTCAGCACAGTTCAGCATGGAGCAGCTGCTCCTGCCTCAGAGCCATTTGGTGCCCCTGAACCATTCACAGTTCCAGGCACACAGCAAGTCCACAATGGCGCCGCAGTCAGCAGTTTAACTCCAAGACTGAGTGTGCAGCACAGAAACTCTTTTTAATCCAAGTTACAACAAAATCTGACATGCAGAGCACTGCGCAGTCTGAAAACAGTCTGTATGGCCACAGGAATCCGCCATGCTCTTCCACCCGCCTAAGCCTGATTCTGCCTTCTGCCCAGGTGCAGGCGGGGAGAGCTGAGCCATCTGCACGGTCTCAGAGCACTCTCCTCCGATCCCAAGCGGGAACACAAACATCCAGTCCCATAAAAGCCTTGAAATGCTTTAAAGCCAGAGTTCACGCTGGCAGTACAGCACACAGGCTCACATGCTTGAATACTTGGTCCCCAGTTGGTGGAACTGTTTGGGAAGTGACCCGTCCAGCAGGTCCAGTTATTCAGGGTCTGAAGAGGTTCTACCTGTATGAATCATGGGCGAGAGAAAAGAAGGAGACCAAGCAAGATTCAGTTGTCAAGGTCTCCGTTTATTGGGGTAATGGTTGCGGCTTATATATAGCCCTTGAACGAGGAACTTGGCTTGGGGTGGGGGGTAGGGGTAAGAAGGAACTTTGCTGGGGTAGCAAAGGTCACCAGTCAGCACACTTAGTGTATGCAGAAACATTCTTTTTGTGATTCCGTTAACAAACAGTTCTCAAGATAGTGAGGATGTGGGGCTCTCTGCAAACATCCTTAGGACAATGGTCCCTGACAAGGAAGGATTAGAGATGTGGCCTTGTTGGAGGAGGTGTGTCTTTGAGATGGACGTTAGTTTTTTGTTTGTTTGGTTTTTGGTTTTTCGACACAGGGTTTCTCTGTAGCTTTGGAGCCCGTCCTGTAACCAGCTCTTGTAGATCAGGCTGACCTCAAACTCACAGAGATCCACCTGCCTCTGCCTCTGGAGTGCTGGGATTAAAGGCACCTGGCACCACTGCCTGGCTGGCTTTGGGGTTTCAAACGCCCACTTCAGACTGAGTCATCTCTCTGTAAGTGTACAAATCATGTTAGTCCTCAGCTACTGTCCCAATGCCACACCTCCTGCCTACTGTCTGCCCGCCTCCCGCCACACTCCCTACCATGATGACCACGGACTAGCTCTCTGGAACTATAAGCAAGCCCCAATTTAAATACTTTTTATAAAAGTTGTCTTGGTCATGGTGTCTTCTCACAGCAGTAGAAGAGTACCTAAGACAACTCTCAAAATTCAACAACAACAGAAAATAAAATTCCAAAATGAGCAAAAGATGTGAACAGGTATTTCACAGAAGAGGATTGCCAACGTCATTGGTTATTAGGCAGATGTCAATCACATTGCAGTAAAATACTGTTGCATGTCTACAAAGCTCAAATACTATTGCTTATCTACGAAGCTAAAGTACTATTGCATGTCTATGAAGCTAAAATACTATTTTAGGTCTACAAAGCTAAAATACTACTGTATATCTATGAAGCGAAAATACTATTGCATATCTATGAACTGGAACTAGGCCACTGTGTAAGGCGCTTGCTGTAAAGTCTGACGACTTGCATTTAATACTAGGAACACAATTAAAGGTGGAAGGAGAGAACTGTTTCCACAAAGCTGTCCTGACCTCCACATGTGTGTTACAGCATACACACCCATCATACACAGAACAAGGAGAGGGAGAAAAGGAGGAGAAGGAAGAAAAGAATTTGTTGCTTAAAATAAAAAAAAGAAAAAGGGAAATTAAATTAGGAGCCGTGTGGGATACAGTTGAAGAAATCCTTACCTCACATTCCAGACACCCGGAGTTGGATAGCAACACCACCTAAACCAGGCTCGACGACGTGTGCAGCTAATCCCAACACTGGAACCTGGAAGCAGGGGGTTTGAAAGTTCAAGGTCAGCCTTGGTTGTGTAACGAGTTCTAGCTCAGTTAGGTCTACATCAGATCCTGTCTCATAAATAAATGAAGACACATGACAATAGTGGCAATAGGAGGCCGTCTGTGCAGCTTAGTGGTGAGCCCTTGCTTTGTGTGTATAAGGCCCTGGCTTTAGTCTTCAGCATAACTCCCACCCCTGAAAATAAAAATTCTTAAAAAAAAAAAAAAAAAGAGTGGCAACGGGAAATTCTGGTTAGAATGTATCGCTTACATGTTTTGTAAACTTCGAAAATACCATTAGCTGTTAATATGTTGGTTAAAAGCTCCAGCTAGCTGAAACAGGAAGTCACAATTAGTTGTCTGCTTCTCCTGTCAGCTAAGTCAGGAGACGATACAGTGAAGGCTCCCTCCCCCGCCCCTTTCCTCTACAGGCTTACGAGCAAGTAGAAAAGACTGCGTAAGTATCCAGGAAATGCCTCAAAAGATGAAGACACCAGCTTTTAAAAATGTGCAGAATTCATCTGGGGGAAGAGCACAGTATCTAGGTCATAGGTCGTGGAGGTGTGGCCAAGAAGAATGGGGATTTCTCCAATCTGAGCTTGACAAGCCTCTGGGGTTGGGAATGGGGGAGGGCGGCCTTTGCAGCAAATCAGGAAGGCTGACCCCCAAACTCCAGCCCGTCAGAGATCTGCAGAAAGTCAGACTCTCCATTACTCAATTTCTATGTATCAATTAAAATTCCATAATTTCCCAAGTCTTACAAAATGTGTGCACACACATGTAACACACACTGCAAGCCGTCTTGTACACATCAGCTCTGCACACGCGCTCCTTCCTGTGTGCAGCAATGGCTACAGTGGACTGATTCTCAACCTTGCCTACAGCGGCCGAGTGCTGGGCATTGGCTCAGAGCACCGTGGCCTGCCCATCATTCCTTCTTCTCTTCCTTCCTTGCAAGAGAGTCCTGATGGTGTCTGTGCCCCGCGTGAGCCCAGGACACCTAGAAGAGAGAGGATGGGAGGGCACTCAAGGGTGTGCCCTCAACTGACAGAGTGCTTGCCTGGCATTCATGCAACCCTGGGCTCCATCCCAAGCACCAGACGCCGGGCATGGTGGAACAGAGTCTGCAACATCAGTACTCACGAGTTAGAGGTAGGAGGATTCTTGGCTACACAGCAAGTTAGAGGCCAGCCTAGGAGAGGTCTATGAGATATTGTCTTAAAAAAAAAAATTAGCCGGGCAGTGGTGGCGCACACCTTTAAACCCAGCACTCCAGAGGCAGAGGCGGGCGGATCTCTGTGAGTTCAGTGCCAGCCTGGTCTACAGAGCAAGTCGAGCTGGCTTTATAGCTATTGAGAAACCCTGTCTCGAAAAACCAAAATAAATAAATAAACAAATAAATAAACAAACAAACAAACAAATAATAATAATGCCAGGATGAGTTGTTCCTCTCACAGCCTCCTCCCTGTGATCCTGGCTTGGTGGATGGCTTCCCAGCTGTTCCCGTCTGAAGGAACTTCTCTGTAAAGTCTCCGAGTCTCCCGTGGGGCTCTTGCCTGGGGCTAGACAGACAGAGGAAGAGTCTCCTGGTCTACCGCAGCAAATGTTCCAGGCATTTCTTCTGCCTTTCCTGCCAGTCCTGTCCTGTGCCAGCTGCATCCCCGACTGCTTTCCGGTTTTACTCTGTTCTCACAGTCCTCTCATGGTCGCTTCTCTGATTTCTGACTTGTGAAAACAAAAGCAAAGATGTCCTTATGGTACCGTGGGTAACACACACTTCATGCCTTGTTTTATTTTATTTCTTTTCAAAGGCAAACTATTGATTTAATTTGCTTTTGTGAAAATCCCTAGGTTGAGGGACATAGCTGAGTACATACAGTGTCTGCCTAGTATGCAAAGAACACTGTGTTTAGTTCTCATCACTGCACAAACCCAGGCAAACTGCAGACGTCCGTAAACCCAGCACTTGGGAGGGGAGGGCAGGAGGGTCAGGGGTTCAAGGCCATTCTCATCTATGTTTCAAGTTTGAGGCTAGCTTGAACTACGTGGAAAAATTTTTCAGAAACATTTGACTTACCAAATTTAAACTAAGATACATAATTTAGACAGATCTATAACACTCAGTGAGATTGAAGAAGTAATAATAATAATAATAATAAATCTCCCAACTAAAGATTCACTAAGATTCACTCCTGATTTCTACCAGACAGTAAAGAACCAACATGACGACTGCTATGAATTTCTTAAGAGGAGCCTCTCTATCATCACAAATAATTCCAATCAGACCAAATTGGATCGAATAAAAGATGCCCACCCACGTTTAATGCAGCGCTCCCGGGTGGCCCGAGAAAGCATGGCAAGGGAAAGAGATGGGGAAACCACGCAAAACACGGAGACCACGTGTTCCTTTTCTGGGTGGCAGCCGAAACAGTCTGTGGGAGTGGTCCTGGCCGTCCCTGGGGAGGGATCAATGCTTGGCAGGCTTTCCCGGACGTGGAGTCCCGACTGCACGACTCCCAGGGGAAGGGGCTTGAAATGGACCGTCCTGCTCCATTCCTGCTTCATTGGCGCTCCAAGGATGGGTGCCAGGGGCTGGGGTGAGGCTTCCACCCCAAACAACGGCTTCTCAAATTAGTCCAAAAGATGAGAAGGAAGGTGCCAGACTCTACTGAATGCTCCCGAACCATCAACACGGATACAAAATTCTGGCAGCTGAGAAGGGCACTGGCCCCTTCCAGAGGAGCAGGATTCCATTCCCAGCACCCACAAGGCACTCAAAACCACCAGAAACTCCTCTTCTCAGAGTGGATCTGGCGCCCTCTTCTGAACTCTGCAAAGACATGCATGCAGGCAAAAACCCACATACAGGAACAAAAATAAAGTAAATCTTTTTTTTTTATTCTCAAAAACAAACAAACAAAAAAAAACCCAAGCAAACAAACAAACAAAAACTTGCAAAGAGAATTCAGGAACACGTCAAAAAGATCAACATGGTCAAGTGGTCTTTTTTTTTCCCCCAGAGATGCAGGTATGGTTCAACATACATAAATCAATCAATGCAATTTATCACATAAATTTCTTAAAACAGAAATCACACGGACATCTCAATAGATGAAGAAAGGCTTTTGACAGAATATAGCATGCCTCCTTGACAAAATGCCTGAAGAAGGTAGGACTAGAAGAAATGCCTGTCAGTATACTGAAGGCTTTACACTAGAGACCTACAGCCAATATTATCCTAAAGGGGGAAAACCTCACTACAGCCAATATTATCCTAAAGGGGGAAAACCTCACTACAGCCAATATTATCCTAAAGGGGGAAAACCTCACTACAGCCAATATTATCCTAAAGGGGGAAAACCTCAAAGCAGTCCACTAATGTCAGGAACAAGCTGAGGTGTCTGCTCTCTCCTGCATTCAACCAGGTGCCTGACATCTTGGCTAGAACAATACATCAAGAGAAGGGGAAGAGTGATGGAAAGGAATGAGATAGAAAGGGAAGGTGGTGAGCTCCTCTACGTAAAGACTCTCAGAATCCAATCAGGAAGCTCTTAATTTTGAGAAACACAAAAGTGGAAAGGACACAGAGCCAACATACAAAGAAAATCAGTATATGGGGGCCAGAGAGATGGCTCAGTTCTTAAGAACACTGGCTATTCTTCCAGAGGACACGGGTTCAATTCCCAGCACCCACATGGCAGCTCACAGCCAGCCGTCTGTAATTCCAGTTCCAGGGGATCTGACATCGTCACAAAAACACACATGCAGGAAAAACACCAATGCACATAAAAATAAACAAAAAAATTAAAATCAGCATATGATAAGAAAGCAATCAGGGAATCCCACTCACAATTGCCTCAAAACATAAATCAATAAAAACAGAATACCTTGAAATAAACTTACCAAGAAAGTGAAAGACCCTTTAAAGTAAAACACCAAAAAAAAAAAAAAAAAAGAAGATGAAGGTGGTACTAGAAAGTAGAAAATGTCCATGATGCTTATGGACTGTAAAAATCAATATTGGAAAAATGTCCATTCTACCACAAATAATCTACAGACTCAATACAATTGCCATCAAAATGCTAATGTCATTCTTCAAACAAATAGAAAAACACTTAAAATTCATAAGAACACAGAAGGCTCTAAATACCCTCCCTCATCCAGTCTCGAATAAAAACAATAGCACCAGAGGCATCACTGTACCCCATTTCAAGTTCTACTCTAGATCTACAGGGACAGTACGGCACCAACACAAAGACCTCCGGATACAAGTGGTCCCATAGAGGAGCCACGCACAAACCTGTCCAGGCACATGATTTTTATCAAAATTTCAGAAATTGCTGGACACAGTGGCATGAATCTTTAATCCCAGAACTTGGGAAGGCAGAGGCAGGCAGATCTCTGAGTCTGAAGTCAGTCAAGTCTACATCGAGAATTACAGACCAGCTAATCCCACATTAGCTGACACTCCGTTGTTAAAAGGAAGGAACAAGAGAGTGAGAGAGAGAGAGAGATTATCTATCTCTAGAGATACACACTGGAGACAAGACAGTGTCTTCAACAAATGGTGCTGGGAAAACCGGACGGCCGCATGGAGAGAAGAAACCAGAGCCCTGTGTCACAACCTGCATAAACATCCACGACAAATCGGTCAACAGCATTACTGTGAGACCCAAAACTCTGAAACTGCTGGTGGAAAAACAGAGAAAACACTTTCCGATATAGGCACAGACTTCCTGGTTGTTCAGGAAGTAAGGCCAGCTGGCGCAGGAGAATTGTCTGTATTCTGTCAATCATGTTTTAAATAAATGCTGACAAATGGGACCCTTGGAGCCAAAGAAACCTCTTCATGACAAAGGAGGCACGCAGTTGAGTGAAGGGGCAGGACAAGCGAAAATCTTCTCTACCGGTGGATTCTACAGTGGGTTAATATCTTGAATATACAAAGAGCTTAAAAAAACTAAACAAGAAATCAAATAACCCAATCAATAAATGGCCTAAGAAAGTAAATCGACTTCAAGAGATGAAATGCCATTGTCCTATAAATGCATGAAAAGTTCCCAACTTCACAGCCACCAGAGAAGCACAAATTAAAACTCTACTGAGATTCTCTCTTACCCAAGTCAGAATGGCAGGGGTTAAGGAAACAACACCAACAAATGTGGATGGCGAGGATGTGGACAAGAGGAACTCTTACACACTGCTGCTGGGAACGAAGATGAGCCTGGCAGTGATGGAAAACAGAATGGAGGTTCCTCAAAAACTAAAATTAGATCTACCATATGATGCGCTACTCCCCTGCCGGGCATTTACCAAAAGATGCCCAAGTGACAGAACACAGAGATACGTGCTCATTGGTGCTCTCTGCAGCACTGTCAAGAACTGCAGACTCATGCAGCCAGCCTATGTCCAATGACAGCGGAAATGGTAAAAAACAGAACTGGGACATGTACACAGTGGAATAGTCTTCAAAGTGAAGGATGAAGTTCTATCATTTACAGAAAGTGGAGCAGCTATAGATAATCCCAACTGCGGGCCGATTAAATCAGTCTCAGAAAGACAAACAGCATAGTCTCTCAATTGTTGTCCTGGTTTTTGTATAAATACATAAAAGCATGTATGCACACACAGCAAAAAGAAAAAAATCACAGAAGTGAAACTGTGCAGGATAAAGGAACTAACAAGAGAAGAGAGGAAGAAAACAGCGGGGGAGCTGGGAAGGAAGAGTTACACTCCACACCCAAAGAGTACTTGTACAAAATGTCTTTAAGTAACCCATGCACAATAAATATACAAAATGGAATTGTTTAAAATTCAAAAAAGAATTAACAATTAAAACTAGCCAAGTATGGTGGCACATGCCTCTAATTGTAGCACTTGGCAGGCAGAGGCAGGTGGATATCTATGAGTTTAAGGCCAGCCTGATCTACAACGCTAGGCCAGATAGGGTAAAACAGTGAGACTCACACCAGGAAGTAGTGGCATACACTTTTAATCCCAGCAGTCAGGAGGTAGATCTCAGTGAGTTTGAGGTCAGCATGGTCTACAGAGCTAGTTCCAGGATCAGCTTCCAAAGCAGCACAGAGAAACCCTGTTTCAGGAGGGGGAAAAAAATAGTGAGATTCTGTTTCAAAATAAAACAGGGGTAACAGAGACAAGATTTCTGGGAAACCAAGTTTCCAGAGCAATCAAGGCAAGTGATGTCCAGAAAGTAGGAAAGAATGAGGTTGTAGGTGGGGCCAGCCATGTAGAGAGTTTATCCAGCACACGGGGCCCTGGGCTTGATCCCGAATGTTAACAGAAGGAAAAAGGAAATTCAATTCCAGGTTATCAATGTGACCTAAGATCACAGGGCAGAAAGAAAGGCAGACAGAGAGGAAGTCAGAGAGAACACTCCAGCACAGTGCAGTCCCTTACAGCGCCATCAGAGTTCTGATGAGCGGATGGATATAAGGGGAAACCAGCCATGTCCGAGGAAGAACAACCAGAGAGATCACAGGGACAGTCCCAAGTCACAGGACGGAACTTACTGAGTGGTTCCTACCTACCAGGCACTTTAGCACACACACACCGGATCTCCACAGTCACCTGTAGCACAGGTAACATCTTCACCTCTCAGAAAGGAAACTAGGGATCCCTGTCGAAACATGTTTTCCAGTCAACATCTCCATCAGGATTGAAGGTTCACTCTTCCGACCCAGAGCGCGGATGCATTTTACAGACCGTGGCGCTGTGTCCTTACAACGGAGCCTGTGACTGGCAAACTAAAGACCAAAAGAAATGAAAAGACAAGCCACAGACACGGCTCGGAAGATTTAGTATACAGAGGCCTGCGTGACTCAAAGCAATACACAGAGTCGGTGGCGTCCCTGTGAAAACCCTACGAGCATGCAGTCCACACTCAAGGTGTTAGTTCCCTTTCTGCTGTTAGGATAAAACCGCAGCTCCTTACAAAAAGCAAGACCTTATCTTGCGGCTCCAGCGGGATAAGAACCTGGTAGCGGGCAAAGGCATGGCAGCAAGCAGCAGACATGGTGGCTGCAGCAGAAGCTATGGGCTCGCATCTGGAACTCCAAGCATCTCGAGAGAGCACGCTAAAAGGGCATGTGGCTGTGAAACCTCAAGTAACACACTTCCTCTTGCGAGATAACATCTTCTAAATCTCCCCCAAACAGTGCCACCAATGGGGACCAAGGATTTAAACATCTGAGCCTATGGGAGCCATTCTCAGCCAAACCACCATACCCAGTAAAACCTGATCCATGATTTTTTTTTCCTCTCTGACATTCGGGATCAAACCCACAGTCTTTTGCATGCCAGTCAAGACCTCTACCCATGAGCTACAGCTTAGCACATCTCAAAACTGTCCTGACAAAGAAAAACAAACCTGGAGACCTGATGCGCCCTGCTTTTAAAGGGTATTACCTACAAAGTTACAGTAAATAGACCGCTGTGGTCTTGGCACAGAAGCAGGCACACTGCACACACAGTGGAGAATACAGAAACAAACCCACGCGTATACAACCAACTGATCTTTGTCCAAGAACACAGAGTGAAGGAAAAGGTAATTTCTACTGAAAGTATGCCCTCTGCTTCTACAATACTGAAAAACCACTTCAAAATGGGTAAAACTCTCAGAAGAAAACGGGGAGAAATTTCACGGTCCAGGCCTGGGAAATCAATGATCTCTTGGATGTCACTCCCAAAATGCCAGAAATAAAAACAAAACAAAACACACCAAAAGAGTCAAATAACTTTATGTTAAAAGGTTTCTATTGATAAACCAGCAATCTGTGGAGATGTTTCAAATTATACATCTGATAGGCGTTT